CCGGGACCAGACCGACACCAGACCAGAGGCTCAGAGCCCACAGCAGGGCCGGAACTCGAAGCTGAGACTCGGACCCCGTGGAGGCTCGGAGTCAAAGCTCGGAGTCAAAGCTCGGAGTCCGGTCTGGGCCCGGTCTGGTCCCGGTCTGGTCCATGTCTGGTCCCGGACCTGGATCAGTCCTGGTTCAGTCCGTACGCGGTGCAAAAGTCCAACATCACAGTCACAGAATCATGTAAACGGGAAACGGCCGTTATCCATTTTTTCCATTTTTCATTTAAACACAAAATCGAAAACTGAAAAAATGAATCGTTATCCGTTTTTTTATTTTGGTTTTGGAGACAAATAATGAAGAAAATTGTTGTTTGTTTTTTTTTTATTATTTTTGGTTTTATTTTGAAAAACAAATGAACGAACGACACACGGATTCAAACCAATTCATGAATTCAAAAGTAAAATATTGTGACTTTTATTGGAAATGTAAATGAAAGTGTCACATCTGTTTTTCTTTCTACAGCAGCAGGACATGAGTCTGTAAAGTCCAAGTTTGTTCTTCTTCCTCTGGAGAATCTCACTCAAAAAAAATAAAATAAATAAATAAAAGAACCAGTTTCAGTTCAGTTTTGTCAGTTTCTACAATTTGACTTAAAGTAAAGTTCGTGTGATCAGCAGCAGGAAAATGAAATGTTCAGAGGAAAAATCTCAACTGAAAAAATCAAACCAAATACAAAACTGAAATCTGGTCTGGTCCCAGTCTCAGTCCTGGTCTGGTCCCGGTCTGGTCCCGGTCTGGTCAGTCCTGGTCTGGTCCTGGTCTGGTCCCAGGTCTCAGTCCTGGTTCTGGTCCGGTCTGGTCCCAGTCTGGTCCTCAGTCTGGTCTGGTCTGGTCCCGGTCTGGTCCCAGTCCCTCTGGTCCCGGTCTGGTCCTGGTCTGGTCCCGGTCTGGTCCCGGTCCTGGTCCCGGTCTGGTCCTGGTCTGGTCCCTGGTCTGGTCTGGTCCCTGGTCTGGTCCTGGTCTGGTCCTGGTCTGGTCCGGTCTGGTCTGGTCCCGGTCTCTGGTCCTGGTCTGGTCCCGGTCTGGTCCTGGTCTGGTCCTGGTCTGGTCCTGGTCTGGTCCTGGTCTGGTCCCGGTCTGGTCCTGGTCTGGTCCCGGGTCCATACAAAAAATCCTTCATCGAGCCTTTAATTTCGGGACAAAACAGTGAAATAAAAACCCCAGGATCACGTGGAGCCAGTTTTAAGTCCAGATTGTGGATCCTGAACAGCAGCAGAAACACAGAGGCTGAACTGGAGCCAGAGTCCGTGGAGCCCAGTCCCGCCCGCGCTCACTTCCTGTTCAGGTTCTGTTCTTTCATAAACACAGACTTTAGATCCTCGTGTTTATTCACCGGAGCCTCAGTCTGTAACAAGACTCTGAAACTTCGCCGTTTTAAAATCTCTCGTCCTGATTCCGAGTCTCTGAACCGTCTCCAAAATGATGAAGTCGACTAAAATCTCTTTATTTTTACAAACCGCTCGGCGTCGCTGCCAAATCCTAAAAGCTCCGTGATTTGTGTCCCAGAAGCGGGTCTTAAGAGGAGCCTGGCGTGACTCAACAGAGACGCCTGGCAGACGCCCCGGGTCTGGGACGAGGACGGAGACGGAGGCGAGGACATTTGTAATAAATACTCGTTTGGTGAAAAAAAAGAAAAAGAAAAAGAAACTTCAATTGTGTCTCTGGAGAAAAGTTTTAAAGGGAGACACCGAGTTTTACCTGTTGGGGGGGAGGGGCTAAGAGCGGAGGGGAGGGGCTAAGAGCGGAGGGAGGGAAGGAGGGGGTTAAAGAGAAGAGGGGAGGGGCTAAGAGCGGAGGGGAGGGGCTAAGAGCAGAGGGGAGGGGCTAAGAGCGAGAGGGGCTAAGAGAGGGGAGGGGCTAAGAGCAGGGGAGGGCTAAAAGAGAGGGGAGGGCTAAGAGCGGAGGGGAGGGGTTAAGATAAGAGGGGAGGGGCTAAGAGCGGAGGGGAGGGGCTAAAATAAGAGGGGAGGGGCTAAGAGCAGAGTTGAATAAACCAAAATAAACGTTTGTCCAGTGGATAAATTGAATTCTTCCTTTGCCGTGTTCGTTTTTTTATATCGTATATTGTTTTTGTTTTTTGTTTTTTTCTTTCTACTGTCCTGTGTCCTCTCGTCTCTGCTGGAGGACAGATCCTTCGTCTCTGGTGGAGGACAGATCCTTCGTCTCTGGTGGAGGACAGATCCTTCGTCTCTGGTGGAGGACAGATCCTTCGTCTCTGCTGGAGGACAGATCCTTCGTCTCTGGTGGAGGACAGATCCTTCGTCTCTGGTGGAGGACAGATCCTTCGTCTCTGGTGGAGGACAGATCCTTCGTCTCTGGTGGAGGACAGATCCTTCGTCTCTGGTGGAGGACAGATCCTTCGTCTCTGCTGGAGGACAGATCCTTCGTCTCTGGTGGAGGACAGATCCTTCGTCTCTGGAGGACAGATCCGTCGTCTCTGCTGGAGGACAGATCTTCGTCTCTGAGGACAGATCTCGTCGGAGGACAGATCCTTCGTCTCTGCTGGAGGACAGATCCTTCGTCTCTGGTGGAGGACAGATCCTTCGTCTCTGGTGGAGGACAGATCCTTCGTCTCTGGTGGAGGACAGATCCTTCGTCTCTGGTGGAGGACAGGACGGAGCAGCTGCAGGACGAGAGGCAGATGTCCCTCTAAACGTTCCTCCTGGAGCCCGGACTCGCTCCCTCTGCTCCCAATTAGTGGATTAACCTGTTCACCAGGAGGCCCTTTAGAACCTGGTGCAGCGCCAGACGGAACGAGAGAGAGAGAGAGAGAGAGAGAGAGAGAGGGAAGAGGGAAAGAGGAAAGAGAGAAGGAGGGAAGAGAGAGGAGGAGGGGAAGGAAATAGAAAAGAGAGGAAGACAGGGAGGAGGAGAGGAGAGAGGAAAGAGAAGGACGAGGGAAGGAAGAGAGGACAGGAGAGGAAGGAGCGAAGAGGAGAGGTGTGAGGGAGGAGGAAGAGGGGAGAGGGAGGAGAGAGGGAGAAGAGAGAAGAAGAGAAGGGAAGAGAGAGAAAAGAGAGGAAGAGAAGAGAGAGGGGAAGAGAAGAGAAGAGAAGAGAAAGGAGATGGTAGAGGGAAAGAGAGAGAGAGAGGAGGAAGAGGATGGTGGAGGGAGGGAGAGAAGAGAAGGAGGAGGGAAGAGAGAGAGAGAAGGAGAGGAAGAGGAGAGAGAAGGAGAGAGAGAGGAAGAGGAAGGAGGACGGAGGGAGAGAGAGGAAGAAGAGGAGAGGAAGAGGAGGGAAGAGAGAGAGAGAGAGAGAGGGAAGGGAGGAAGGAGAGAGGGAGGAAATAGAAAAGAGAGGAAGGATGAGGGAAGGAAGAGAGGACAGGAGAGGAAGGAGCGAAGAGGAGAGGTGTGAGGGAGGAGGAAGAGAGGAGAGGGAGGAGAGAGGGAGAAGAGGAGAAAGAGGAGAGAAGAGAAGGAGGAGGGAAGAGAGAGAAAAGAGAGGAAGAGGAGAGAGAGGGGAAGAGAAGAGAAAGGGGATGGAAGAGGGAAAGAGAGAGAGAGAGGAGGAAGAGGATAGGGAGGAGAGAGGGAGGGAGGGAGAGAGAGAAGAGAAGAGAAGGAGGAGGGAAGAGAGAGAGAGAGAGGGAAGGGAGGGAGGAAATACAAAAGAGAGGAAGGGAGGGAGGAGGAGAGCAGAGAGGAAAGAGAAGGAAAAGAGGAGAGGGAGGAAAGAAGAGGAGAGGAGGGATGAAGAGAAAAAAGAAGAGAGGTAGGAGAGGAGAGCGGAGGGGGAGGAAGAGAGAAGGAAGAGAGGACAGGAGAGGAAGGAGAGAAGAGGAGAGGTGTGAGGGAGGAGGAAGAGGGAGGAAGAGAGGAGAGAAGAGAAGAAGAAAGAGGAAGAGAGGATAGGGAGGAGAGAGGGAAAACAGAAGAAGAGAGGAGAGAGAGAGAGGGAAGAGAGGAGAGGAGAGAGGGAGGAAGGAGAGAGGGAGGAGAGGAAGGAAATAGAAAAGTGAGGAAGGGAGAGAGGAGGAGAGGAGAGAGAGGTGTGAGGGAGGAAGAGAGGATAGAAGAGAAGAGAAGAAGAGAGGAGAGAAAAGAGGAAGAGGAGGGAGTGTAGAGGGAGGAGTGTGGGGGCTCTCCTCCTCGCAGATGTTCCTCGGTTCCTCCTCGGCTTTGATCTCATCTTCATGAATCATGTAAAACGTCTCGTTTTCAGACGACACCTGGACTCGTGTTTTCACCTTTAAAGAGACACTGCGGAGTTTTTCTGGCAGAGCTTCACAGACAAACAGACGCCCCCCCCCCCCGTCCCCTCACACATCTGTCCTCCTCAGGTCAGACTCGTGTGTCCTCCTCAGGTCAGACTCGTGTGTCCTCCTCAGGTCAGACTCGTGTCCTTCTCAGGTCAGACTCCTGTGTTCCTCAGGTCAGTCCTCAGGTCAGACTCGTGTGTCCTCCTCAGGTCAGACTCGTGTGTCCTCCTCAGGTCAGACTCGTGTGTCCTCCTCAGGTCAGACTCGTGTGTCCCCTCAGGTCAGACTCGTGTGTCCTCTCAGGTCAGACTCGTGTGTGTCCTCCTCAG